CTAGTGAAGCCACGCTGCCAAAACATGTACGTTCTTGTTTCCTTACTGCGCACTTCTTTTCTACGGTGAAGCAGACTGCTTTGTTGATGTGTATAACAATACGGGTAAAACCATAAATATATTGCCGGAATACCAAAAGACAGGCAATGACATCTCTAAACCAACTTATTGAATCATCGAATATTTTGAGCAACTTTTTTCAATCGTGTGTGGCTTGAGTTGAATCTAATCAACTTTACGGCGACACTAGCAGCTTCTCTGCACACACATCGTAGAAGAGAGTACAAAAATCATAGTATTTTGGTAAATGCATCGAGTAACCATTGCAAAACATCAATACGTTTTGGCTAACGCATAGTACCGGCCCACAGAGAAACTGTTAGCGTCGTCGTAAAGTTGATTATATTCTAGCAAAGCCATACACGTTTGAAAAAAGTTGCCGAAAAATACAATGATTCAATGAGTTGGAATTGAGATGGCATTGACTGCTATGTGTCAAATGACCTACATTTGAAATGTATTGTGGCACTTTCCCTATGGGTAAAACACCGGCGCTCGGAGGTTTTCATACAAAATTCCAATGTAGACGATCCGAAACAGACAAAAATCGAAAAAAAGTTAATTTTTTTTTTCGATTTTCATACAGTATTTCATCTGCCCAATCCAATGGTGTTATCGGCACATCGAAATTCACGCTCCTTATCACTTAATTTTCACTCCGAAGCCAAATTACAACCAAAACCACCATTACAATGAATCATCATTCCAATGGACTTGAAAGTGTATCGAACATTTTTGCTTCAATTAAAGTGAAACACGATTTCTTCACTTACAAGCGAACAGAATTTATGTTGCACTTTTAAAAATCAAGAATATTGTGTTACGGTTATCCATAAGTGGTTCAACTCTAGTCATTTTTATTCCCGACCACTCATTTAAACTGAGATGCCGATTTCTGTTCTGTCACTTTTAACGCAACATAACTAATATAAATCATTTGTCAAAGTTACTTTGTCGTGCGTTAGAGCCTTCATCGCCCTTTCAGCTTTGTTCTCGCATACAGTCAAACGCTTGCTTTATTATGAGCAAACATGTGTTTTAAGATTGCTGAGCATCTCAGCATTTCGTAAGGCACGGATATATCCGAGCATATCGACGACGCATACAGTGGCGTGCGTTGCTACGCGCAGCCGCAATGACTCGACCGGAATGTGTATGTTGTTGCTGCGTGCAGCCACATCAACTGAACACACTTCGGTCGAGTCGTTGCGGCTGCACGTAGCAACACACGCCACTGTATTATACAGTATGCGTCGTCGATATGCTCGGATATATCCGTGCCTTACGAAATGCTGAGATGCTCAGCGATCTTAAAACACATGTTTGATTATGAGTCTTAACATTATGAGTATTATTTATTATGAGTCTTAATACAGCAGATGTTTGTGCCGGTTCGATAAGTGGAGAGAACGGCACGTTGACTGTTTGCATTTCATTCACACGCTGCTATATGAATGTAGCAATCGCCTGCAAACGAGTAAGAACAGAAATAATGTTTAATCATCATGCGCTTGTTGGTGTATGTGTTTGTGCGTGTTTGTTTGCCGCTTGATTAGCGTGTACAATTGTCAGTCAGCATAGATGTTGAACGTTCAATAGAAGTTTCTATACATATAAACGAAGAATATGAAGAAATTGGATGTATTTGTACGCAAATTTGACAGAACACTCAGTTTAAATCTTCTTTTTATGTTTAACTAACCGAGATTAATTTTGGGTGTGTTTGAATTTGGCGTGTTCTTTCATTTATATGGAGTCAGTAGTATCAAAGTCGAAGTTTAATTTAAAGTGTCTATGTTTTTTTATGGAATTTCAAGGAAATTTGTGCTCAATTTACGAAATTTTTATTAAAAAACACAAAAAGTCAAAGTCAAAGTGTGAATGAAAATGAAGACGTTCTTGATTCTTGTGCTTCTTATACTAAGTTTAACTGGCTTATTATTTGGTGACTAAGTTCATTTTGAATTTTTTCTTTCTCTTCATTTCTTCAATATTAATTCGAAATATGTTGCAAATTAAACTACCTTTTTGATCTCTCACATAATGCCCTCATAGAGAATGCAGACGATATACAGGATGATACGTAAGTTTTTCCACAGTCATTCATCCGACTTTAACGAAAGTCGTTTAACGATTTTACTCTGTTTGAATTATCTATCAAGAGCGAAGAGGGTAGCTGAAATGATCGAATGGAAAGGTGAGTCGAAAATTGATTCCGATCAGTGACCACTGTAGAGACAAGAGTCTCTTTCACTTGTAGACAAGTGAAAAAATGAAGAAAACTAAATTTTCTTGTCAATTTAAATAAAATGATGACGTTTATTTTCTGCTAGGTTCTGAACCTGGAATCAGATTATTATTGCTTCGA